ATTAATATTTGTTATCGTTCGTTTGCTAACTCCAAGCGCCTGAGAGACGCGTTCTTGTACTTGTTCGACAGGTAACAAGGGTCCGCCATTTTGCCGCTCCCGCTCAAAGTAATCTTGCAGCTTGATGATTAACTCACGGGATCCACTTTTCAATGTTTGTCCACGTTTAGGTATTATTATGCATCAAAAGTAAAAAGAACGCAATACAAAATACAATCAAAGTCCGATTTAGCGCCGATGTCAGTTTGAAAAGCAGAAACAGTCCATTAAACGAAAGCCGGGTAATCAAATAAAAACAGATCGAAAACACTTGAAGAACGTGGTCTATGCGCACGAAACGACAACAGACGACTGTTTTAGCATCACAAAATGGCGGCCCATAACGCCATTTGGGGTTACCATTTTCAACCTAAATTTAAAAATGCTACTTTCTTTCCCGCGTTCGGTTTGGTCGTAGTTTTATTTTATATTTAATAAAAGTTATCTTATAGTCCATTATTTTCAAATTATTAAAAAGAAAAACAAAACGTATTATTTTATAAAGTATAACTGTATAAGAACAGATTACGATACTGTTATTGTCTGTTATTGTTAGCACAGCACTACAAATATAAAGCGCTGACATAACCTTGTAAAAGCGCAGTATAGATTTAGAAAAATGTGTGTGTGCGTGTGTGTGTGTGTGTGTGTGTGTGTGTGTGTCTCTGTGTGTGTGTGTGTACGTAACGTACTTGCAGTCATTGAGATGCGCTGCGAGGGTGGCGACGCTGCGGCGGCCAGAGCCGGCCGGCCCCACGAGCAGCGCGTGCCCGCGTTCCGCACGCAGCACGCGCGCCACACGCACTGCATGCTCCGCCATCTCACGGAACACCACCAGCCGCATCTCCGCGCGCGCCGTTGCGTTGTACTCTTCCAGGTATTCCTGCAGCACGAGGGCATCCACCACATTTAATACCACCAGGGCGGCGCCACTTAGGAATGGGGTGAATTATTTAACAGATTTCATGACAGGGGAATTTAGAATTCGGAAGTTAGAAATGTGAATGAAATGCTATGTATTCGTTGTATGTATTCATACACTAGAAACGGAAAAACTTTTATTTAAAACACAACTTTTCAATGATTAACATTGTGCAACCATTCCCGTAACAAATAAGTCACATTAGTCCCAACTGGCGACATCTGGTAAACGTAATATTATAAGCCCTCACTATTAGCACAGCAACCAAGTCCTTACCTATGACATATAGTATTCTATGATTAAAAACATGACAACTATGTTTTTAATCATAGAATACTATAATACACAATAGAATTTCTGTCAACCTTATTTTGTATTAGGATCGGCGTCACCAGGAGCACACATACAAGCAATTACGTCGTATTATTACTACTACAAACACGATTCGTTGTGTTGACACACTTAGTAAATTTACGCATTTTAAACTTTTGACTAATGTTCAAGATCATCATTATAGTATGTACCAAATCGATTGAGAAAACGGACAATGATCTTTCGGTCGTTTAACCAGGGACTGCCTGCCTAAACCTTCAATATATAGGCACTTTTTATATGTAGTACTTTCTTTATTTATAATGATTTTTTTTATATTTTTTATAATGATTGATATAATATAATATATTTATTAACTATTATTAAAAAGTAATGTAAAAGATCGCTGTGGAAGTAAAATCATCTATTGTTATAAAGTACTTTATTCATTTAACAATAAAAAGTATTAACTTATAACACATATAAAGATTCGAGTGATAACGACACCGAATAAATACGTACTTATTCAAAAGATAAAACTTTATTTTCAATATTATATAAGAACTTTATTCTTATTCAGTGCATGCGGACCGGCCCAAAAAAAGTGACGCATCTCTGGCTGCCATTGTCACTTTTCTTTTAGAACGAACTGACGTAACATGCGTTTTGTTTATTTTAAATGGATTAATTTGCAAAAGCTCAATATGGTGATTATATTGCTTCAATTTTTTTTATATGAAACTGTTTTGAAATTAATTTCTGCGTTACTTACCATAAATTGAAATATAAAATAAAACACATTTTTGCGATGTGCCGTAAGATTTTGCTATGTTTATAGAAACCACAGGCAATATTATTTAAGAAAGAAAAACAAAACAAATGTGCTGATCTAGAAGTGAGAATAATATCAATAGTACCTGGATGAACGGTTTTTTTGAAATTCTGAAATTACATTAAGATACAAATTACATGCTAATGAAACATCAATAATATTTTTTGATCTTATTTTAATTAAAATTTTCGTACTTGTAATACTAAAATAAGGGCTCGAAATTATAGATTTTCTCACAAAAGAAGGGAACTTGAAAAAAAAAGGAAACACGTTAGACCGAAGACGGGATGCGAACCAAGGCATTACGATTATGCGACGGATCGATATCCACTTGAGCTACTACGATCATTATCACAGTGTCAAAATTTACCTTCTCATATTGTAGCAGTTTTTCATTGCCTGAAAACATGGACAAAAATACATATTCTAAAAATAAATCCCAGCTAGATCGTTTTATTGCCCCCCGAAACTCCCTAGACACTAAATTTTATGAAAATCGTTGGAGGCGTTTCAGAGATTCTATTTATATATATATATATATATATATATATATATATATATATATATATATATATATATATATATATATATATATATATATATATATATATATAAGAATTGCTCGTTTAAAGGTATAGGATTTAAATATTGTTATCACATCTAAATTGAGATTTTGTAAGTTACGCCTTTTGACACTCGGATCATATCTGAGGTCATTGTCCATTTTTCTCAATCGATTTGGCACATACTTTAAAAAAATCGTTTAGATTTTAATACAAAATTTATTTGTAACTTGTGTGCAATTTGGCATTTTCTAAATAATTTGCATGCGAGTTTTTGAAACGATCGTAACGTCAAAACACATCTCGTGTTGACATTTATACGTGTGAATTGACATGTTACTGACATTTTAGTGGCACACGGGCTCCTCCCACTCCCCCATTCTATTATGTATGTATTATAGTAGTCTATGTTTGTAATTAACCACTGTTGTTTGTAAAATTTCCAACAACAGATAATAATTTTCTTTTAATTACAATTACAAAAATTAATTACAGATAAACGAGCACACAATCCACATTTATCCGCCACTGAGGACTAACGATAAAATGCCCCGTATTCATAACAAATGATCTCGGAAGCATTGAGCTGCTTTGAACCTTACCCTATTATTATGTAAAACCGCGGTTTTTCTCTGATATAGCCGACCCATTCGCATTAAAACCATAACATAGCCTCACCTATCAATGTAAATATTAATAACCGCTAATATTTGTAAAATTTTCATATAAAAAGGAGAAAATTTCTTTTTGTATGGAGAGTTGTGGCGTAACTTAATAAAATGTATGTCAATTTATTCCTTATAGGTTCTCTATTGATTACAATAGGGATATTCGTTTTACCGCATATAAGAAGACATAAGAAGATATAGTATAAAACGAAGTTGTAGGTGATTCAGCATTTATAGATAGGTACTTTAAGATTTATGAAAAATCCTTTTAGTAGTTAGGGAAGAATTTAATGGACAGATAAATAAACGTGATGTAGTAACTATTTTTATATGTATTGATTGATTAGGGAGTAGTAATCCCACACCATTATAGTAATTAAAGAAATATTAATCATATTTCTTGCCAAGATGACTTAGGCATAATGTCTCCATTATAATATAACCTATACATACTAATTGATGAAGATGATGAGTAAATAAATACAAAAGAGCAACAATGTGACAAAAAACGTCAATGCCGTATAGTAAACTAAAAAACTCACACCCGGAGGTCAATGACAAAATGGGTATTAATACATTTCGTTCCACTGTCACTTTGAACCATATTATATGATAACTTTTAGAAATAGGATTAAAAATAAGTTTTTAGTGGCATCTCATTTCAGTAACAAATATATTTATACAAATACATAATATATGTATATAAAAAGTTATCGTTTACAAAAATATATTTATCATTTTATTATACACGTGTTTTTATTTACGCATGTTTTTTTTCATATAACATTAGCCGAAGGCGAATATCAAAACAATTCTTTATTTTTTCAGGTTTCATGATTCCGGTTAGATTTTCATAAAATCAAATAAAAGCAGTTTACTTTAATAAATTGGTACCTTTTAATGTGTAATACCATTAAATTACGTAAAAATTTCTAGTGGGCCCAACAACGATTGTCTTCTTTGTGTAAAATTATTGTATGGTTAATCTGTGCATTTTCTGTAATTTTGTCCTTGTAAGCATACTATATACGAGTATTTAATCTACATGCTATTAAATCTTAATAAGAAACTATAGTAAACATGTAAACGTAGAAAGTGCCTATCCTGTACTGGCTTGCCTTCCTTACTTTTCTATCACATCCTTCTCTCCAATTAATCGGAAAACAAAATTTATGGCGCCATCTATTGACCCACAACAAAAGCGTCTGTAAAAGAAGTCGACACGATCGATACCCACATGTAATCAAGACTCAAGACGAACTGCATCGGTAATGGCTGTTGTGGTCTAAACCTTCCAAGTTAAAATTCATTGTAATAAGCTTTAGTGAGTGTGCCGGGTCGACCCAAAGGTATGCATAGACTATATAATCACGTAGGAGTGTGGTGAAGGAAAAACTGAAGCCTTCCACATCTGAAGATATTGTTGAAGCCAAGTTCGAGTTGAAAAAAGTTGGAGTTGAAGAAGTTCAATCCGCGGATTTTCTATTCTATCTTTTGACCATATCCAAACTTATCTTCAAGGTTTTAAAATTGTAGTGGATTGAAAACCAATTTCCATACCATTCAATTCGCACCCAAACATTAAAATTTATGTACACATTGCGGCAGTAAAATTTCGCGATGGTGAAATTGTACAAAGTAAATCGGTATTGAACATTTTACAATCACATGCAAACCTTGAGTACTGCCATAAGTTTTTCTATATCTGGAATCTCCTGATAAACTCGGTTCTCCTTGGGTAAGGAAGGATTCATAAAATCTCCAAACAATAACAACGGAGGCTGTTCGATGAGTTCACCTTCTGGCAGTTCCAGCACCGGTGTTTGGAAGTGTCTTTCGCATACTTCGTGCATTAGTTTATAGAAGTAGGTTTTATCTTCTATGCTAATGAGGCGGTCGTGGAACACACGTAAGCATTCATGATAGAACAATCTAGAAAAAAAGAGAAGTAAGAAATAAGGCAAGTTAAATAATTAAATGATGAGAAGAAGTAGTTACTATTAGCAATAAAATGACAAATTACTCTTTTCCTATATTACTTAATGTTGGAAAAGGGGCATTTGTTGTTAAATATAGGTAGTTTAAAATAACTAAAAGATTGAATAAAATGTTTACAAGAAGTCCTAAGCGTAAACAAATGTGAGTATACACCACTGATCTCTACATATACATAAATAGAAACAAGTAGTGTACACCTATATGATAGAAATAGTTTGATGTAAGAACGAAATGAAAGAGGAAGTAACACATATTACAACCAACGTTGTAGAATTTTATGAAGTGAAACAAAATTAGGAAATATGTGTATGGTTTCGTTTCGTATTACTGGAATAATATGCATGCAATAGTATGCAATTGTGCATATTACGTGCATCATTAGAGTAAACTCTTGTGGATTAATAAAAAAGCTAACATGAGAAAATGGACAGAGCGTAAGATTTAAAAATGTGACGATAAGTAATAATAATTAATAAATAACTTATATAATATATATATATATATATATATATATATATATATATATATATATATACATTCCAGTAACACACCTTATGTTCAGAAAATTATCTCAAATAATTACAAAACAAACCAGCGTATTATGAAATAGTTGTATTTTTGATAGAAAATTCTTTTGTACCAAGTCTATTTTAAATTTACCACTAATGATGTTTCATTGTTTGAGGAGAAATTGCAAAAGAAGCTGATTTCTATTTACTCAGCAGAAGACTTTTTTATAGGGTAAGGGTGATAAACGAGCACACAGCACACTAATGGTAAGTGAACGCTGTGGCTCATAGATGTCTACATCTATCCTAGATTACAAATCAAAATGCAGATGCGTTGTCACCCGTGAGGACTAACATGAAATGCCTCGTTTCCAGTAAAAAGGGTATAATAAAACATAAGAGTAGGGTTGTTATTTCCTTACAACAATATTGACAAATGCTTAGTAAACAACACAAATCACTGTAGAATATTGTTGCAAGCCATAATTGCCATTGTGGCAATTATGTTTGTATATTGAATGCCACTAGTGCCATCTAGTATCGAGTATCAAAATTAGGAGAAATATCTAGAAAATGTAATACTAGAACTTTCCTACTAGCGCTATCTAGTATCGGTTGGCAGAACTAGGAGAGAACATTCTACACCTAGTCGGTCGGGACCGGTACATGCTTGAACACTCTGGATACTTTAGTGGAAAAAGCCCTATTATGGCCAGTAAGGACCTCGAACGAGTCAGTTTTGAATTAGCGATACAATCTAACACATCGAAGCGATATAACTGCGAACTTAATTGTTAAGTTTGATTAATTAATAGTGTGTTTATGTTGTAAATGGTGTTCGATAATTAAAGGTGCCAAGTTTGGTAATTCAATCGGCAGTTTTTATTGTCACGACCCCTAAGCTAGTAACAATATATTTATTGTTACTATTGTTAGCATATTCAATATATTTTTTACTCCAGTGACTAACGTATTTACAGTTTGCCTGATGGTATGTGGTTACAACAGCGCAGTCTTTTTTTAGATGTTCCTTTTTAGCAACCTCAAAAGAAGAATGGTGGAGTGAGGTTCTTTTATTGTCACTATACGGTGAATGTATGTAAGTACGTATGTATATTATTGTATAACATGACGTGATGTATGACTGCCTCGTTGGTTTAATGGTCGTAAAACGCGATTGCTGATCATGAGGTCCCGAGTTCGAATACCAGATTGCTCGTCGTTGCATTTGTTTTCCGACAACCAGGCTTCGTTGAGACTGGCCGCTGTGACTGAAATGTGGTCTCGACGACATTATTATTATTAATGAATAACAATGCGCGTGTGGTGGTACCTAAGAATGTCCCGCGACGTACGAACATAGGCCGGGTGCGCCTGCAGCGCGCCCTGCACGCACTTGGAGAGGTCGCGCAAATTGAACGCGTAGTGCGCGCGCGCGGGCGTCGGACGCAGCGCGCCGCGCACCCGCTCGTACACCGACACGCACGCGCGCACGAGCGCCTCGCCCAGAGACTGCACCTCGCCCATGAAGTCCTCCAGGTGCCCGCACAGGATCGCCTGCGCAACGCACAACACACCCACCCGTCATTACCGTTCACCATTACCTATTACACAAATATGTTATTTGTTTTCTGCATTCTACACTTCGGGAAGTTTCGCCAAGTATTCTCATCACCCATCACTACAAAACGTAAATTTTCGACCCGTACGTCGTTCCTATACATAAATCCTAATTTATAGATTAACGTGACTTTTGAGTAGATCTCAAAGAGATTAAAGGAAATAATTTCCCTGAATACCTATATCTACTCGTATTAATGCACTTTTTTTAAGCAAACAGATATTAATTCTTATTTGATATAAAATATTAATGCTGTGTACGACAAAACACACGTATTGCGCTATTAACTATATACTATATATATATATATATATATATATATATATATATATATATATATATATATATATATATATGTACATATATATTTCATTTTGTGAACTTAGCATTTTTTTTAATTCAGCAGTTTCATGTGCAATACTCATCAATCACTGCATCAAAAGCATTCATATCAAGCTATAATTTTCTTATCATACTAATATCATAATAGTCTTCATATCATAGCCACCTTTATATTATCACCATTATCATTACAACCCTTCCACTGCTGAACATATAGGTACCTCCCCCAAAAATGCAACAAAACAATCTTGGGTCATCTACAACCATCAATTTACTGCATGTCTTATCAGGTTGTCCATCTTTTATAGAATAAAGGTAAAAACAAGCACACAGTCCACATGACGCTAAGTGAACGTCCATAGAAATCTAAATTAACTTGGCTTAAGAATAAAAATGCAGATGCGTTATCATCCTTTAGAACTAAGATCTCTACACTCACTATACGCGTGAGAGCGTGATCCCCACCCCGACCAAGCCGACTCATTCGTGTTACAACTAATATAGCTGCAGCAAAAACCTGATGATGGGATGCCCTACACTTCTCCTATCAGTACAAAACTGCCACCCAAGAGCCTATCTTCCCCATCTTTTGGCGATGCTTTGAGCTATATGGCCCGCCCGTTGCTACTTCAGCTTATAAATTGTATCTATGTCGATTACTCTGGTTCTACAGCAGATACCCTTATTTTTAAATGTATTACGCTGAGAAACCCCGAGCAAAGCCCCCTTCATAACTCGCTGAGCGACCCCGAACTTCCTCATACGGTCACCAGTAAAGGACCACGTGTCAGATTCATAAGTCATCACTGACAACACGCACTGGTTGTACAATCTTATTTTAAAGTTTTGAGATATACCTGTTAAGAATCTTGATTCCATCTTAAATCATCCATCAACAAGTGTGGTAATTAGACATCAACAGTTTGTTTTTATTATTAACTTTTATCAACCGTAATTAGTTCAAAATTTTCAATTAAATTATACTTTAAAAAAATAAAATAAGGGTGACAAACATGCGCACAACCCACCCGATGGTAAGTGGATACTGTGGCCTTTACACATCTACATTTATTCTCAAAGAAGAATCAAATTACAGATGTGTTGTCACCCCTGGGCACTAAGAAGAAATGCCTGGTTTCCAGTAAAAAGGGTCTTCTGATTTTCACAATCATCATACGAAACACAGCAGTATTAAGCTGCTACTTCACGCTGGTATTTTATGACAGCGTAGTCTTTCTACGGTCGAGTTGACCCATTCGTACTACAACTATTATATAATAATAAATAATAATAATGAATATGTATATATATAGATAGAAGCGCACGCTTATTTAATATAATATCTATTAATGCATTTTGTAAAGATACAGATATTGGGTATGCTGTGTATTTAATTATTTTTATAGCTAATGCCACCAACATCTGTACTACTATTAACTTTTTAACTTCCTGTACTGCACTTAGTTTAAATTGGTGAAGTAAATGGTAATACAAGTGTGTATAGTACTATGAGGGTGGAGGGGGGGGTGTTGGCGTACCTTGAATATGGCGTTCATGTTGTGCGTGTCTGGTGGTGCGAGATGCAGCATTGCGAAGTGGCGCATGAAGCGCGCGCTGAGCGGGCTGCGGCCGCCGCCGGGCGGCGCGCACGCGCACACCACCACCACGTCCAGCACGCGCCGCCACTGCAGCTTGTCGCGCTCGTACCACCCGCCGTACTCCACCAGCTGTCTGCACCCACCGACATTACAACTTTTTACTGCTTTGAAATTAAAATTATCATATGCAAAATGTTTAACATTAACCTTCCAAAACACACACAAATACGGCTAAGACAAGATGTACAATAAATAACCTTTACATATAAAAATATCCAATAAAACTGCGGTGTTTTAAAAACAAACTAAAACAATATCTAATCAATAACGTTAAATTAAATTAATTTTAACTGAATCCGTCCGAGCCATAGTTTATAGCGTAGCATTGTTCAAATTCAAATTCAAATTTATTTATTTGTGAATACAGGTAATGAGACAGAATAGATCTTATATATATGTTATATAAATATGTTCGCTGCATTCAACCCTCAGATATACAAATATTACAGTTACAATTAAATATATTACATTTCCACAATTATTTCATTTTATTATATAAATTATAATTATATAAGAAAATTCAACACTGATGTAATAATTAATTAGAATGGGATATTTACAATAATATATAGTCTAATCGAATGTCAAATGAATTTATTTTATGCAATGTCATTATAATATGCCTACTGATGCGTTCTTTGCAATTAAATTACGTGGCAATTACGGAAAGATTTCTTCTATGAGGCAATCTATAGTAATCATTCAAAATATCTACACACACACACACACACACAATATACAACAGCGTTATGCTGGTTTTAATACAATTATTAGTCGCTTTTAAGGTTGTTCTGTATCATAAGATACAATTATTAGATATGTCAGCCAGAATCATCATTACATAACTTCACAAGTCCAATTCTGAATATATGTCACCCTGAAGGAGTGCCACAAAGCATGGTCCTGAGCCAGCTGCATCCATCGTCCTCCTGAATGCCTTACCAGGTCATACCATCTAGTGGCAGGACGTCCTACACTTCGCCTGCCAGTACGAGGCTACCGTTCGAGAACGTTTCTTCCCCATCGGTTGCAGGTTCTTCGATCTATACGGCCGGGCCATTGCCACTTTAGCTTACTAATGCGTTGGTCTATATCGGTGTCTATAAGAATAGTATGGGATAATCATTATAATGTTTGTGATATGAGCGTCAAAATAGGGAAAGAAAGAAAGAAAGAGATATTTATTTGGCCATTTCTTAACAAATTAGCAGTAAATACTCAAAACAAACATTATGTTTAGGTATTCTTATAGGTAGACTTAATTATACACTTGCAATTAAAAAATAACACTTTTTTTAGTGGGAAATGGTCTATATGACCACTCAGGAAACGCTAAGATGTGTCATCCTAGCCCTGATTTTCAGTGGCTACCTTAAGTACATTACATACACACACATATAATCTATATACATGTACGTTGATATATACACCTACATACATAAATATATACATACGCATAACACACATACACATACACACACGGGCACTTATTTTCTATATATACGGGCACATATAATATATACTTATTTAATACAAGTATATACTTTTTATATTTACTTTTGGGCCACAACTGCCTTATATTTGTAGTGCTATACCGGATGTTTACGAATGTTAATTTCATTGCATTACTGGAACCGAGAGTATAAAAATAATTAATAATAATCTCATACAAAACTTGTACACAAGAGCAACCCGAGAGATACGTTCAACATAACACGCTGCCGCATCCATTTAGCATAGTTTTATCACAGAACCTGGGATCTATCTACACTACGCGCGCAAAGGAAAGAGAATAGTGTAGTTAGATGGTACACCTGTGATGTATGAAGGAGAAAAAAAAGACAATTATACGCATAGTGGAACATCCTATTGGTAGTGCGACGGTACGGTACGATCGTGTGATGGTGTCAATGTAACAGTGTGACGGTGTGACCTTGTGTCAGTATGTAATAATGTGTTAGCATAAAAGTGTAACGATGCGACGGTGCGTCGGTGTGACCTTGTGTAAGTGTAACAGTGTGACGGTGCGATAATGTAATAATGAGACGGTGTAACATTGTGCTGGTGTGACAGTGTAACGGTGTTACCTGAGCAACTCGATGACAGGCTGCGAGCCGTACTGGTCTGGTCGCGGCAGGTTGACGTCGTCCACGAACAACAGCAGTCGGCGCCCGCCCGCAGCACCCAGAGCCAAACGTCCGCGACGCTCCAGCCGCCGCTCCACGCTCTCCTGCCGCGCGCGGACAAACACACCGCATAATACGTAATGTTCTTCACACCGATTTTGGTCACGGCGACCGGTCTTAACAGAGACTCAGAGATCTTTTTATATAGAATAAGGATAATGATTTCTTATATTTACGCGAACACTATACATTGATTAAAACTACTTTTATGGATTTTATCGCGTTTTATTTATTTTTGATGCCGTGGCCCATACACAACTGCTCTTCCATCTATCCTCAATTTGAGCTGCTATTTTAAGGTGGTATTCTATGAGAGCGTGGTCCAGCGTGGTCATATCTTGGTGCTCACGAAACTCACCGCCATGTATATATATGTAACATTTAATTGTCGCTTGAACAAATTATGTCATTGGTGATATTCATATTACCCACGTCTCTCAGTAAATATGTACAAGCATAAGGTTTTTAGGTGTTTTATAGGTGATTTATAGGTGTTAAATTTCAATTAAAGTGCTAATTTATACTTAAAAGTGATAAAATAACTGTCACGCATACACAACTAGGACACCTGGTATGGGCATTGAGCTATTTTTCAGGACATTACATTTACAAGATTTTCGGGCGCTAAATTTCAACTAGTGAGCTAATATATACTTAAAAGTGAAAAAAGGACTTGGTTTAGATACAAAAGTATCCGAAACATGTTTTCCTGAGCAGATGCACAGCATTTCTGATAGCATCACATCAGATAGTGAGAGGAGGTGCAAGATAAAGCGTGAGAGATGCGCACCTGCGTGCTGCGGCTTCCGGTCTGTGCGGAGAAGTTGAGCGTGAGCGGCGTGCAGCCTCCCGCTGTCTCCATCTGCTGTAGCACGTCCAGCACGATGCACGTCTTGCCTACGCCTGCGAACCGACCGAGTCTCGTTTTTTATACCAGTGGGTGCGTACGAGCATGCGGCTCACCTGCTGGTAAGTGACTGCCGCCGCTCATGAATAACTGCAACACCATGGAAACTGCAGGTGCCTTGCTGACCTCTTAAAAAAGAAATTTTCTTGCCTACGACGTTGATGTTGGCGGCTTTCTACTAATGTCGTGGTTGCGGCGTTGGAATCTTCGATCAACAATACCAACTAGATAACGGGTCACGTACAAAATCATAGCTAAATACTGTCCGCATGAATATAAACTATAAAAAGACATAAATTAAATAACATTTAGTGTGAAATCAACCTTAAGTTATAACAAATAAAGTTCTTTTTCCCGTTATTGCCTTGCGAGCTACACTCTCACGTGCAGGAGCTCAGGTCTCATGTGCGCTCTTATTTACTGAGATGGATTTCTTGCGCCGACCCGACATCTAGTGGTATTGTTGATCGAAGGTTGGAATCTGACACGAAACCAACGTTTGAAGTCCTTACTGTGTGATAGAAACCAACTAAGATATTATCATTATCTTGGAACACAAAATATTTCTATACCCTGTGATAGAGACGGATAAAAAAAATTAAAAATACTTTATTTCCTTAACATTGGTAAGTACTAGTATTATGCCGTGGCGGAACCACGCAGGAATCATGTAAAAATTCCTGTATTGAGTGTTTCTGCTCTTCCTATGGATTATTGGAGCGAAAATCCCATGTCGCAAGAAAACGATTCTTTGAAATCTATCTCCTCTGTAACCCGTAGGCCAATTTACATAATTTTTTCAGCAATATTTGTAGCTCAACGCAGAGAAGGTTTGTAAACAATAAAAATCCTTTATTGTTTTTTTACTATCTAATCAATTCGCTAATTTACATCTGCGCAATGTCCACACCATTTGATTGAATCTTTTGTTGAAATAAAGATAGTTATGACTTTAGACTTTTACTCCGCTTCGTTTATGATGCTGGTAATAGGTTTTACCTTTGCATCTGCATCGGCCCTAGTATTATTAATGTTAAGTGATAGCATGTATAATAAAATGTGTGTTAAGTGTGTGTGTGCAGTCCGTACGGATGAAGAATGGGATTAGAAATGGCGACTCTTCGATTCGGTACCGTCAACATGCAAAGTATCAATAGCGTAAACCCGCTAATGACGGTATGTCGTCAAATGTTATTCAGTAACAGGGAGATTTTATACTATAGAAAAATAAAATATTTCAAAAGAATGGCCTTACACCAACATATGTTAATTTGACAATAAAACCATTAATTACCAGATTAAAGCTATGTTTATGAAAATAACAATAATTTTTGTTTCATCGAAATTGTGTGCCTTCAAGTGCCTTCTTTTACATGGGGAAATGCCTACACATCCGCTTTGCTTCGTCGCATATTTGCAGACCTACGGGAACGCTTTCGTACACATACGTGACCAGCGCTGATCTCCTAATCGAGAGAGGACGCCATTGGGCGACCACTTTACGTACGGCAATAAAACAATAAATTTAGTAGGCATCTTCGACCTTGTCAATTCGCAGGGCTAGGGTGGATATGATTTGAATTTTGATGAACTATTTTGATTATTGTTGCACCGCCTCTTATATGTCTATCTCTGTTTAGCCTACCTTAGTACTCTTATTAGTTTGTGGTTTAGCCTAATGGCTGACTGGGCGAGAATGCCCTATGGCATTTAGAGTCCATATGTGCTGTTTTGGTGATATTGACAGATCTGGATCTCGCTATCTATAAGACCTAAGAGTTTCTATTTAAACACATTAAACTTGGACTTATAATCTTCAAATCTGTTGAAGAGAAAACACGATTCAATAAAAAAAATTCTCGATTAAAAAAAAGTAAAAAAACCTCGTTTTGCACTTATTTTGAGTTAGATCTCTGAAACTATATGGAATTGAATGATAATTTTTAACGTAATAGATAGATAATAATAATATCTCAAATCGTATTTTTCTACGTGATCTCCTCGTAATTCGCAATTATGTGATTTGGCGCTTGCGTTATTTTATTCTAAGCGAGCACACTCTTTCTATCTCTCGTTTTGCACGCGGTAGGTAATAGCGCTATCCTTTTCAATTTGCTTAATGATTCAATCAGCCTGCTGCGGCATTTGTTGCGGGACGAACCTACTCGTATGTTTGACGATATTACAGAGAGTATTTCCAGTATAAGCTGATCTCGTATTGTAGTCTTTTCGTACGATGAGGGGTCAACTTATACTAGAAAATTTAGCTTGAGTAGCAGTTAGTATGACTATGAAGGGGTTAGTGGAGGCAAAATTAAAATTTGAGCTGATGTAGTATGGGCTCTTAAGTCCGCCATATGTACTAGTTTGTGCATGGAAGCATAAATAAATAAATACAAATTTCTTTAAAATTTAAGTAATTATTGCCAACATTTCTATTTCTTCTACAATATTACACATAGACACTCTTAAGAAAAACCGTCCTCTCAGGCAGTCGGGTATAAAAAATCTGTGGCAGTTCATACGCGGTAATTCACAAAATTTCCAGTAAAATTGCTTGTTATAGCGCCATCTGCTTCATTCGATCGACACAGTGATTTTATTACATTGTTACGTAAAATAGACGCTAAATGGCCTAAAAACGACATATTTAATATAATATTCTATCTCATTTTCTTGCAGGCTGAACGCTATAGATGTAATATATGTTTGTAGAAGTTGTCTACACTTTTAGTATTTAATATGATATTGATAATAAAGACAATAAAATGATAATAACCGCTTCCCTGGGGGTTATTATCATTTAATTGTCTTAATTTTATTGTTTAATAATAATTTATAAAAGCATTTACAAAACGCGGCGCGTTACAACGCTTACGTATTTTTACTTAAAATCAATATAATATTCGAGTAGCGCCTGTCTCTTTTTAGTGTCGTATTTTCATTTCATTGAATTATAAATCACGAAGGTTCTAAAGAAGTTTTCACTTCAAAGAGCAAGACGAAGCGGTACGCACCCGTGTCTCCGGTGAGCAGCACTGGCTGGTTGGCAGCAAGCCAGCGGTGCAGCAGGTGGGCGTGGCACGTGGTGTCCTCAGTGGGCACGACCGTCTCAAAGAACGCGCGTTCAGGTTTGTATATGAAGTGCGGCGTCACTTCCGCCCAGGGTCTCGCCCGCCTCGCTTTCGTGTCCACGTACACCTCCAGCAGGTTCACGCCATGCGGACAGCTGGGCACACACAATCACATCATGTATTTTTTTTTCGTTTTTCCAAAACACTACACACACAAAGTGTCACTACACATCTCTCACTTTAATTACGACCGCGCAATAATATGCCACGTGGTTGAAAAATTATCAGGTAAGAAAGCTCAGTCACGCTGCTTCATAATGCTTTTCACGTGGTAGAGCCATGCTGCAGTTATATTAGAAGTATAGTTGTAGCACGAATGGGTCGGCTCGACCGGGGAAGGACCACGCTCTCACAGAATACCAGCGTAACATTGTAACTTAATGCTGCTGTGTTTCGTATGGTGAGTATAAAGATCGGAGACCCTTTTTACTGAAAACGGAGCATTCCATCTAAGTCCTCACGGGTGACAACGCATCTGCATTTTGTTTCGTAATCGAGGATAGATCTAGATGTCTATGGGCCACAGCAACCACTTACCATCAGGTGGACTGTGTGCTCGTTTGTCACCCTATCCTACAAAAAAAAGTATAGGGGCTATCACAGATATCGCGATTAATATATGTTTGACAAAAAAAAAAGAGTGTACCTACAATATTTATAATGACTTCATTATATTATACAACAGAAAATATTGTTCAAGCCCCTAGTATATTCAGTGCGGATATAGATTAGATGCCATATAACAATTCTGAAGAAGAATTACTGTACGGTGCGAGTTTTGAACATTTACTGCAGTAAAAAATTCAGTTTTACATTACACCAGCAGCTCACTACATACTACAGCCATGTACGCTGACGTTAATCAAGTTATTACGAATACGCACAATATTCTGCGCCAGAAATTGGATACTGATGCACACTGTGACTAAATCGAATCCAGGCCATACCCAAAAACTTCTTCAGCTACTTAAGAAACAAGTTTATGTTTTTATAATCATCATCTCGACCCAAGCAAAACATCAAAAAGCACCATCAATATCCAAACTGTATAAAATAATGATCAAATAAACTGTACCCAAATCAGATCATTTATTTAATCGAAATAAATCTAAACATCATTCTAGCAACAAAATTTCCGATGTCGTAGCACAAAATATGTTAAATGTAAAAAGAAAACTCGAATAATTGATTTTTAAAATAAATTGTGTCATCATCGATGGATGCAGTTGGCTCAGGACCGTGCTTTGCGACATTCCTCGGGGGGAGCCCTATGTTCAGCAGTGGACTTGTGAAGGACTGTAATGATGATGATGAACATCATACTAAGCAGTGTTTTCCGGCAAAAGGTGGCAAAGATTGTCATAATACATTAATGCACAAAAGCGCTAATATTTGGACCTTTAAGGACTAAAAATATGGATGGGCTTTGATCACACAAACTTTGAATTAAAATTTAATTAATGATAAAAGGCCAGAGAATTTAGCTACAATAATAATTTATTGATAAATTATGAGATGAGATTTATGATAAGATTTGTGTGAGTACACGCTGCCGCGCCGTGGTATGTGTAGTGGGCTGGCAGACAGCTTTCTTTTATAACATAATGTTATAAAATAACGCTATCTCTGGTATAAAGTTAGTTATGGACTATGGAATGCTGACTGCAGAAAATATGCCTCCACATGTTTCTCGCACAATTACAATTAACTACTAGTACTAGTACCAAATACTAGAGTAGAGAGTCAAGTACCAACTTACTTAAAGAAATATAAGTAAGCGACTACCATAAAACAGTTCCGACTAGTCGGCACGATCATCGTTATTTATACTTTAACAGAACTTGTTAATTTGATAAAATACAATAGACTATAAGTTACACACAATTCTACATAAAAAAATACACATAGAAGGAATTTGGTTTAAGTGGAATTATCAATTTAAATGACGTCGATAAAACCATTACTTTAACATAAAAATAGTTAAAATAATTAATAGAGAACTCACTATTCGCCTTCTTCAAACTGCTCGAACTGTCTCTTAACAAACTGCTCGAAGGCTCTGCGGTGATCATGCAGCAGGTTCCCCCCCACGGCCCAGACGTAGCTGAAGAGGAAGCAGAGCGCCAGGTAGCTGCGCAGCGCCGCGCGCTCCGTCAGCCGCTCGCCCGGCTCCGCCAGCACGCTGCCCAGAAGACTACACATCGCCGCCACTTTGCTAGCCTCCACCTGGATCATAACCCTGGCCATACACACTACGATCTACAGGAGGGGAGGACAGGAAAAAATGTGCAGGTCTGCATGCGCATGTACACCGAAACGTATATTGGAATTAGGTCCACCTTACTTATAGAATAAGAGTGCATACGAACACACAGTCCACCTTGATAGTAAATGGATGCTGTGTGACCCATACACATATAAATCTATCGTCAGTTGAGAATCAAAACGCAGACCCCCCAAAAAAAAATGGTATCGCGTGCTTTGTCACTATTATGTAACTAAGCGGCTGGAAATAGTCCGAACAATTCCTCTAGGCACTGCGCCAGTGAGTCAAGCCGATCATTCGGTCGCCGGCGATGCGAACCGCTTAGGTCATAATTACTTGTTTAAAATTATTTTTAGAATTAAGGTAAAGTTAAATATTAAAATTAATTAAATAAATTATGTCGGTTCCGTGGCGCATTATCTTAGCAATGAGTTACGGCGCAAATGGGTGCGCATTCGAATCCCGCATAGCAAAGTGTTGAATATTGATATACTTAGGGAGTGACAAGGGCGCTACGTCAATTAGACAAGCTAGTTAATTGCACACTGGTTTAACTTTAATGAGACAGCGACCGTTCGGTGGGGGACGCAGCCCGCACACCCTTACACACATAGACTTACACAACACAAAGTATTTTTATGGCCAACAAGTTACTGTTTCGGGTTTGGATTTTGTTCTTGTGAAATTTATGTATGTAAACTGCCTCCACGATACAAGCGATGTTAACCTTAATTTAACAAAAATAACTTCTTAATATGCTATGACTACTTCAGTTACTTGATGTATTCCGAAGGCGCAGTTGTTGTTGACATAGTCCAGGCCTTCCGGCAGCAGCAGGAACATGTCGCGCAGAAAGTCTGCCGAGTCCAGGGAGCAGAGACCCTGTGTGGTGGCATAGTTCAGCCAGGAGCGCGCGTACGGCAGCACGCCCAGCTCACGCGGGTCCACGTACACCATTCCGCACCGCGACACCGTCGCCGGGGACGCCTGCGACAGTTCACCCACCTGCCGCCACCACCAACACCGATACCACACGTTTTCTTACCAGTTTTCTTATAAAACGAGCACACAGTCTATATGGCGATAAATGGATGTTATGGTTCCTACACATCTATCTACATTTATCTTCGATTAGGAATCAAAATGCGAATGCGGTGTCACCTCAAAGGACTAAGGTGGAATGTCTTGTATTTCCAGAAGGGTTTCTGGTTCTCTACACTCAACATACGAAACACAGAAGCATTTAGTTTACATTTAAAGCTGGTATTCTGTGAGAGCGTGTTCCTGAGTATATATCCATTCGTGTTCAACTGCAACGTGGTGGCAGCGTGCTTCTATCCCAACAACCAATAAGTTTCAAAGAAAGTCCACTGTTGAATAATCGCCTCGCCCATAGATTTAGTCATAGGAGACATATGTGCCATAGTTGCCACACTTGGCAAGCGGGTTGACAACTACAGTTTTTTTAATATTTAGTCAATATTTGGAACATGCTGCTGCTATCTCCTGATTTGTTTCTCTCTGTTTATAATATCGAGAAATACATGATTGAAAGTATATATATACACAATACATACATATATATATATATATATATATATATGTATATATATATATATATATATATATTCTCCAAATGCGTGTTCTTCGTGATTATCCGGATGAAACTCAAACCGGGACTCATCGGTGAACAGCGTCGAAGACCATTGTTCGTCACTCCATGGTAAATGCTCCCGAGCCCACGAAATCCGCCGAATGCGATTGCTACGTCGCAATGCTGTAACACGTAGCGGTATTCGAGCATGAAGACCAACTTCATGCAATCTCCTTCACACGGTTTCGCAGTAGCACAGGAGCTTTCGTAGTAGTTATATCGCTGTGATATTGGGTTGTATTCTGGTGGTCATTTGGAGAAATCGATCCTGTCTCTGCGTAGTAACACAATATCTACCCGTGTACCGTCTAGCCACACGCCCAGTACAGCGATAACGTGACCACAACCTTGATATCACGTTTTGGATCGTGTGTATGGGCTCAGCAACGACACATTGAATAGCACCATTGTCTAACGTGTTCACGGCTCGTAACATTTCAACTCGACTCAAATGACGACGTGACGTGACCCTTAAAGCTCACACGGCACGTTAAATTAAAAAAAGAAAACAATCATTTTTTCATTAATTAATATCAGTAGAACTATTTTAATTTTCCTTGTAACGAGTCACTAACAAGTTTACCGCCGTATTATGTTTTTTCTTTTGTTATTTTTTTGTTACATTTTTAAAATTTAAAATAGAATCAAAGAGGTTTCAATCTTTATATAACCTTTTTATAGAAACTAAAAAGATTTTGAACTATAAAGTCGCAAATAATTTAGGATTAAGGTATTCCTAGATCCTGTTGATGTGTTTATACTACTATCGTAGTAAAAACAGAATAGCAGGGTATCCTGCGCCACGCGAGGCTTAAATGCCTACTGTTGCAGGGTTGTCTCTGCCTTTTTGTTTAACAGCTACGTCTCATTTAGTTTTATAAGTAGTTATAATATTTACTATAGAATACTATAATACACTTATAATACACTACTGAATCTCACACGGCACGTTAAATTAAAAAATAAAAACAATCTAGTCCCTTTTCATTAATAATATCAGTAGAACAAAAACATTTTCCGTGATGTAACGAATTACTAACAATTTCGTCGCTGTATTTTGTTTTTTTTTTTAAATTTAAATTTTATATTTTGAAATCAGTATAAAAGAGGTTAGCTTCCAATAAGCATTAGGTATGTAATATTTGGTACCAAATAAAAATTATTCTATTCTTATCTATACTCATCCACCGTCGGTTACAAATCATTCATCATCATCATCATCATCATTGCTGCGCTTCACAATTTTACTGCTGAACGTAGGTTTCCTCCATGGAATGCACAAAGCAGTCCTGAGCCACCTGAATTCATCGACTTCCTACATGTCGGGGGACGCCTTACACTTCGTTTACCAGCACGAGGCTGCCACTCGAGAACCTTTCTTCCCCATCGGTTGTCGGTTAGCTGGCTGGCCCATTTCCACTTTAGTGTACTAATCCGTATACACCATTAGTGTCACATTTTAACTACAACAGCCATGCTGTCGCACAAATGGCCCAGCTTGACCGAGTGGGGAATCACACTTGCACATAATGCTAGCATGAATTAGCAGAAAACACCGGCGACCCTTTTAACTATAAACGAGGCTTGGAGAACGAACGAAACGAGGAAATGTGTGCGCGCCTTACCTCGAACAGCATGTGCACATACGGCGTGAGCTTGATGCGCTCCGAGTTGGCGAGGCAGAGCATCTTGTTGTCGTCGAGCACGGTGTTCATGTTTTCAATCCAGACGGCGTCCACGGGCCCGTCGCACACGATCCACTGGTGGTCTTCGGAGCCACTCTGCACGGCCGCCCGGAGTCCAAGAGGCAGCACGCCGTCGTGCCACTCCAGCGTCGCCAGCTCCACCTCGCCGTACAGCTCACCGATGCTCAGGCTCTTGGGGTTCAGCGTGTACATGTGTACCGCGCGGTACTGCGGGCCCTCAACACCGCGGGTGTACAGCTGTGTGTACGTGTCGCCCAGCACCTGAACAATTCATTCCATCCGTCCATCTAATCCGTAGAAAATTAGATAAAATTTAAAAAATTGCTTTTCAACTTTCCATATACATATTATGTCTTACTAGCTGTTCTCCGTAACTTCATCAGCATGGATTTTTTTATAGGATTGGATGACAAACGAGCACACAGTCCACCTGATGGTAAGTGGTTGTTGTGGCCCATAGACACCTACATCTATTCTCGACCATTAATTAAAATCCAGATGCGTTGTCATCCGTAAGGACTTAGGTGATATGCCGTGTTTCCAGTAAAAAGGGTCTCCGGTTCTCTACACTCACCATACGAAACACAGCTGCATTAAGCTACTATTTCACGCTGGTATTCTGTGAGACCGTGGTCCTTCCCCGGTCGAGCCGACCCATTCGTGCTACAACTATACTACTAATATAACTGCAGCAGGGCTCTACCACGTTTATTACGATATATGCATTTTTGACCCAGAACCCTAATTATTTTTTTAGATAAAAGTAACCTTAATTTAATCCTTATAAAATCAGCTATCTATCGGCGGAAGTTCCATCAAATTCGGTCAAGCCACAGTACCAACTGAGAAACTACTCAACTGACTAAACTTTCAAAGAAAAACGGCAGCATTTTCCTGATTACAATTCAACATTATAAAAAAACTGCAGCAATCCGCCAGTTTGCCTAACAAGCAATCTATATGGAGGCATATATTCAGCCGCTTCAATAGGATGTAACCGTAACGAGAACGTTGTAGTAAATGAGTAAATGATGACGTTATTTAGAACTTGTTGGCTCGACCATCTGCCATGTAAACATCATTATCATACCACCATACCTCTCTAAACATCTTGATTCTTGATTCCTGTCTGCGCACACATAAATTTAATATTCAATATCTGATTATTTTTACAAATATATGTTTATTACATTCATTCATTCAAGAATGAATGAGGAAAGAGTGACAAAGCAAATTTATATGGCAGATGTGACCGGCAGAGTCGGGAAGGGACGCCCAAGAAAAAAGTTTATCGTCCAAATTGGCGATATTTTGAAAATAGGCCACGTTAAAAGTACCCTTAACCGACGAGCATGTATATATGGATGTAAAGGAGGCGAAAGAGGTATGTCAGGATCGTGCCAAATGGAAGTCCGTAGTCTCTGCCTACCCCTCTGGGTGACAGGCGTGAGTGTTTATGTTTTATGTATATTACAGGTCTTCCAGACAGGCCCAAATGTAGGACCTACATGGGATAATAGGAAACTTTGGTTCACATTTGACTGGTTTGACAACAAGCTAAGACAAAATTCACTGTTTTGCTAGACTTGTACGTGGAGAATGGATAATCATAGAAAAGACATACGTCAAACGAGTACACAGTCCACCTGATAGTAAGTAGAGACCATAGACATCTACGTCTATTTAAAAAAAAATCAAAATGCAGATGCTTTGTAACAACCTGAGGACTAAGATGGAATGACGACTCGTTTCCAGTAAAGAGGTGGACACCTTCTCTGGTTCTCTGCATTCAACATAGAAAAAACAAATTACAGCACTAAGCTGCTATTTTACCTGGTATTCTTTGAAAGCGTGACCGTACTCCAGTCACCATGTCACAACCATAATTTAGCTTCAGTGTGATTCTACCATGTGTAAATGTGTGTAAAATAATATTGAATTAAATGGACAATTAATGGTAACAAACACACGCACATGCAGCACTGTCGTCTTGCCGCCACCAGTGGGACCCACGAGCATGACGCCCCAGCGCACTATCATGGTCTCGTGCAGCTGGATTACTTTACGCACCTGGCACTCTTCCACCTGCAAGTTGCGCTCCAAGAGAACGCTCTCTGCAAAATTAATTAAAATCTAAATATACAACTACGTACACAATGCAAGACTGAATACATAAATTATGGAGCATATTAAATGGATACAGAAGTACATATTATATATTATAAGAACAAGTTGAATTGAAAAACTTAAAGTAATAAAATTGTACTAATGTAAATGAGGACGGCTGGCCGTATGAGGACGCTTAAAGTCGCTCAGCGAGCTATGGAGAGGGCTATGCTCGGGGTTTCTCTGCGTGATAAACTTAGAAATGAGGATATCCGCAGTAGAATCAGAGTGACCGACATAGCCCAACGGATTAGTAAGCTGAAGTGGCAATGGGCCTGCTATATAGCTCGAAGAACCGACAACCGTTGGGGAAAAAAGGTTCTCGAGTGGCAGTGTCGGACTGGTAGTCGAAGTGTAGGGCGACCCCCCACTAGATGGAGTGACGACCTGGTAAGACATGCAGGAAGTCGAAGGATGCAGGTGGCTCAGGACCGTGCTTTGTGGCATACCTTGGGGGAAGCCTTTGTTCAGCAGTGGACTTGTGAAGGGCCGTAATGATGTTGATGATGATGATGAATGTAAATAGAAGAGTTTCAAGCGCTCTCTCAAACCATTTGGGTATAAATTGTATCACTCTTAATGGATGTTTGATATTTTTTAATTCTAACTAATTAGAAAAAGCATTTTAGAAGTACCCTACAAATCTCCACTGCAGCTGAAACGTGCCCCTCTCACATCATTGATACGCTTGGCAGATGACCTTTGACCTACATCGTTCCCTTTACACGATCTGGGTATTCTACATATGGTATAATGAGGTGGTTGTATCGAAATGTATTAAAGGAAAAGTGTTTGCCATTTCAAATAGAAGTATCCTTTGATACCTACGCGATCATTAGAGTCAAGGATTATTTTGTTAGGTGGTGCGCCTTGGATGAGGTCTATGTCCAACAGTGGACTGCAGCAGGCTGATGATGATGATGATTATCGTGCGCCGTCAATTTTCAATTTTTTCAATATTACAAGCTACTGGTTAGACTAGTAGTCTAACCATGTGATGGTAAGTGATGATGTAGCGGGAGACGGTAAAGCGCATTGACTTAGCTTAACAAAAGCCTTTTCACTCTTGCCTTGAAGACCACAGATTATCTCATAGGGGGATTTTTCCCTATTGGCCATGCTTGGTAGACGGATTGGCATTCACTGTTTTTTATTATTTGAGTTGTTGTCAGGAAGATGCTGCTACCTCCTGTTGCGCTCCTTTGTTTCAGTGTACCTCTGTCGCCAACATAGACGGGACGATATGTGGTGGTGAATATTTTTACAACGCCACTATAAGAAAAGACAAGTGCTGGCAGATTATTCCGCTCCTTTGATGTACACATTATGAACGACGTCGCAAGCCATTTGGCTCAAATTCGTGGTGTGTCAAACCATAGACTACTATAATACATACATAATAGAACTGGGGAGTGGGCGGAGCCCGCGTAGCCACTAAAATGTCACTAACACGTCAATTCACACGTATAAATGTCAACACGAGACGTGTTTTGACGTTACAATCGTTTACAAATTTCGCATGCAAATTATTTAGAAAATGCCAAATTGCACCCTATTTACAAATAAATATGTATTAAAATTTAAACGATTTATTAATGATGTTCTTGCACATTAATCAAAAGTCTAAAATGTGCAAATTTACACAATCTGTCAACACAACGAATCGGGTTTGGCGACGCCAATCCTCGTACAAAATAAGGTTGACAGCCTATTGTGTATTAATGTATTATATGTGTCAAACTATTATCATTTGTTAATAATTACTTTGAAAAGAGAACACTTACTGATGGCTTCCTCCATAACACCGTAGTCTCTTATTGGCAGTTCTAGTCCGGGGAAGAGGTCGGAGAGGATACCAGCGAAGAGCAGTGCATCATCAGCCAGGAACTTGGGTAAGTTGCTGTCGTTGAGCGCGCAGAGCAGCGTCAGCTCCTCATGCTGATCGGGGTTTGCACGTTTCAACGCACCAGCCATCACCTGGTGAAAGGTCAAAATGATCAATTGAAAACTGTTCTAATAATATGCAAAAGACTTAACTTTACAAAATTAGTGCTTTATTGCCTTTGGTGCTCCGAGCTGGATAGGTTTGAAAGGGGACCTTTTAGTTGGTGTGTAAATAATGAGGGCAAATATTCTTAAGCTACAGGCATCTACGTATTTCTGAGGGGGAGGGAAGTGACATAATATTATGATTCTCTTTTCAGTAAACTTCTTCACGCATTCGAGTTGGATTTCTTTAAGGACATCGGTTATAAGCAAGCTTTAAAAGCTGTTTCTAATTTTAAAAATTAAAAATAAAGAAAGATTTTTATCTATCATTGACCAGCGCCTTTTAATTTATTCTTCCGACCATAAAAGAAGAAACTGTGATGTAGAGCACGGCTTTCATAACATATATATTCAATATACAATAGCTTTTATAACGCTGCGTCCCCACGCTTTCCGCGGCCAGTGCCGCAAATTCCAAATCTTTACAAACGTTTAGCTTAATTTTTCGGAATCAAAAGTCGCAATCCACAAGCTTGCGAGTACGTTAGTTTGGTTTGAAGAGGTCATAACATTTAGCTTTAGTTATTTTTATTATAAAACCAAGAAAACAAGCGAAAGAGAACGAAAAATTCTGCAAAGATGGGGAGAATGTTAAACATTCACAATAACCGTACCAGGTAAAATGGTGGAATTATTTTATTATTGGTGCTTATTTTTGCTACCAGTCCACAAACGTGACAGAGAGCACACAAACGTGTGAACGCATCGCAAGCGCTTGCTGCAAATTAACTTTGATTTTTGATAATAAACCGATAATCAACGGATTGGCTACGAGCGCTAGCGAACATACGCGAACCGAACAAACATCCACACGTTAGAATTTGTGACGGCTTCTTGAGGTTTGCCAAGCGTGCCGACGAGGTATAACATAGTCGTGTGGTCTAGACTATCATATACAGGGTTATTTTTATACATTTTTAATAAAGTTTTCTTCACCATATGCCTTTACTACTTATTCTGAACCTTCTCTGCAAATTTGGCTGGTTACTGCAAAGTAACCCTGTATATATCAATCATATGTATAATATATAAATTACGTGTCAGGTTGTTTGTCCGCGATGGACTCCTAAACTACTCAACCGATTTTCATAAAATTTTTACACCGTGTGCAATTTGGTCCAACTTGAGAGATAGGATAGTTTTTTTGCCAATGAGTGACCCACAACTTTTTTTTCAAGTTTAAGGATTTTTAATAGGACATGACAAAGGGTCGTCGAAAAGGGCAGAACAACGTCTGCCTGGCAAGCTAGTATACTATATATTAACGTTAATTGTAGTCATTAAGAGTAGGCTAATCAAAATTCTAGTAACAGCAAAACTATTCCTTTATTAACACCTTAACACATTACAAACAGTGATAGTTACTACAACAAAAGAAACTAAGAAATAAAATTATGTAACAATCGGACACCCTGTGATATAAAATACAAAAATACTGGCTGCGTTGCTTTTCCTCGCTGTATAACACTAAATATCAATCGTTCATTCACAATAATATAATATAATAATATAAAGTAAATGTAAATCACCAGCACGCTCTTGACGGCGCGCATTCCGAAGTCGTAGTGGTCCTGTTTAGAGAGCTGCTCGCTGGACAGCTTGTACATCAGTACCATCTTGCGCGCCAGCAGCTTAGACGACTCGAAGCCCTCCGAGTACAGGATCACTTCCGCGATCAGCGCTGCGCAAATCAACGTCGATATCACAAATGAATAAAACACCTGTTCAACGTACAAATTAATCAATACACTTGTCATGAAGTTACGAAAGACCTGACCTGAATAAATTCTTTGTTTTTCTTCTTCAACACGTAATCGACCACTTTGAGAATAAGATAATATCATCATCATCATCATCATTACAGCCCTTCACAAGTCCACTGCTGAACATAGGCCTTCCCCAAGTAATGCCACAAAGCACGGTCCTGAGCCACCTGCATCCATCGACTTCCTGCATGTCTTACCAGGTCGTCCTACACTACGCCTACCGGTACGAGGCTGCCACTCGAGAACCTTTCTTACCCATCGGTTATCGGTTCTTCGAGCTATATGGCCGGCCCATTGCCACTTCAGCTTACTAATCCGTTGGGCTATGTCAGTCACTCTGGTTTTACTGCGGATATCATTTCTGAGTCTATCACGCAGAGAAACTCCGAGCATAGCCCTCTCCATAGCTCGCTGAGCGACTTTGAGCGTCCTCATACGGCTAGCAGTGAAGGAACCACGTCTCAGATCCGTAAGTCATCACTGGCAACACGCACTGGTTGTACAATCTAGTTTTCAGAGATTGAGGTATACCTGACGAGAAGATGTGTCGTAATTTCCCGAACGCTGCCCAGCCGAGTTGAATCCGTCGATTGACCTCTCGGTCGAAGTTGGACTTACCTAGTCGGACTATTTGTCCCAGGTAAATGTAAATGTACTCGTCAAGAACTTCGAGCTTAGTAGTCCCAACAACTACCGGCATAGGTGTGACATGTACATTAAACATGATCTTTGTTTTGTCCATGTTCATCTTAAGATCTATCCGTTGGGAGGCACCATTGAGGTCATTGAGCATAGTGCTAAGGTCCTCCAGCGATTCTGCCATAAGGACTATATCGTCGGCAAATTGAAGGTGAGTGATGTACTCGCCATTGATGTTAATACCGTATCCTTTCCAGTCCAGTAGCTTGAAAAAGTCTTCCAACGCAGCGGTGAAAAGTTTCGGGGATATAACTTCACCCTGTCTTACACCTCTCTGCAGTTGGATAGGTTTCGAACTCTGGTTCTGTACCCGGAAAGCCATCGTAGCCCTACTGTACAAACACTTCAGCACCTCGATATACCGACAGTCAACTTGGCACCGCTGAAGGGACTGTAGCACCGCCCAAATTTCGACGGAATCAAAGGCTTTCTCA